GGCCCCGACTTCTGAGTCGTGGCCCTGCTGCTCACGGACGATGGTCATGTATATGGATTAATGGTGTGAGTCCTGCGGTGGGGGAAAAAACTCCTCCTCCTCCTCCACCCTTCTGCATTGTCGATGTGCTATTCAAGCCACGTTTCATAGCATGAGTTTGAATATTGCAGGTCGGCTTGTGCAGTGTTTCCAGTTTGCCTAGCGACTTTGATTCGCGATGAAGTTGTGTCGCCCGTGGCGTTTTGCATGGAACAGAAAGGGGTACAAAAGGAACCACAGAAGAGCGCCCCAGGGGGGGCGGCGAGGCAGCTGTTTCGCCTGAGATTTCTTCAAAGTGTACTTAGGAATCGTGCTCTTGTCTTACTGCCGGATACATTTTTGGTCTGGGCAAACAATGCGCTACGGTGCACATGGCCGCGCGTCGCTGCTATTTGGGCACCTTGCTGGAGCAATACCTTTGGGGGCTCCGGGGGGGGCCCTCGTAGCAACGGCGGGACGCAGCTCGGCCAACTTGTCAGGATGGCGCCCGGGAGGTGCCAACGGATTAGTTTTGAGCGACGATGGGCTTCGACAGGTTCGCGCTGCGTCGGCGCGGCGACGCCGCTGGCGCGGGCGCTGGCGCGGTTGACAGCTACGGGGGCGGCCTGAACCCGGCCGATCTTGAAAGATCCCCGCTGTCTGAACGCGGGGATCGCTCGAGATAGGGTCGATGATCGACGCTCGATCCATACCCTCACTGCTGGTCTCCACTGGGCGCCAAGTGACAAGTGTGCTGGAGGGTGTGGATAAAAAAGCGTGGCCTCGGAGGTCCGAATTCTGTCCAGACCCTCGCCCTGGCCTCTCGTCGGGGCCGGGGCGTGAGCGGGGGCATGGATAGGAGGAGGAGGAGGAGGAGGAGGAGGAGGAGGAGGAGGAGGAGGAGGAGGAGGAGGAGGAGGGGAGGGGAGGGGGAGGGGGAGGGGGAGGGGAGGAGGAGCAGGAGGAGGAGGAGGAGGAGGAGGAGGAAAAGGAGGAGGGAGGAGGTAGGGGGAGGAGGGAGGAGGAGGAGGAGGAGGAGGAGAGGAGGAGGAGGACGAGGAGGAGAGAGGACGAGGAGGAGGAGCAGGAGCAGGAGGAGGAGGAGGAGGAGGGAGGAGGAGGAGGAGGAGGCGAGGAGGAGGAGGAGGAGGAGGAGGAGAAGGCGGGAGGAGGTGGAGGAGGAGGAAGGAGGAACAGGAGGAGAGGAACAGGAGGAGGAGGAGGAGGAGGAGGAGGAGGTGGAGGAGGAGTGAGGAGGAGGAGGAGGAGGAGGAGGAGGAGGAGGCACCGAGCGCGCTGGCTGGAGTCCGAACGAGCCAGGGCCCACGCCGCCACGGCGGGAGAGCTGGCCGCAGGCGGGAGGGACCAGAGGGGGCGGCGGCGCGCACGGGCCGCAGGGGGGGCCAGGCGGAGGGGGGCGGCCTCGGAGGCAGAGGCGGTCGGTCGGCGATCGCCCTCCTCCTCCTCCTCCTCCACCACCACCACCTGCTCCTCACCTCCTCTATCCTCCTCCTCCTCCTCCTCCTCCATCCTCCTCGACCTCCTCCTCCCACTCCTCACCTCCTCCTCCTCCCTCCAAGCCCTCCTCGTCCACCTCCTCCTCGTCCTCCTCCTCCACCTCCTCCTCCTCGTCCACCTCCTCCTCCTCCTTCTCTTCCTCCTCCTCCTCCTCCTCGTACACCTCCTCCTTCTCCTCCTCCTCCACCTCCTCCTCCTCCTCGGAGGAGGCAGAGGCAGATGAAGAGGAGAGCACCGGCCACGCGCAGAGGCCAGGCGACCTGTTTGCTTGAGTCTCCTTGACTACTTTTGCATGCATGTTTGGATCTGTTTGACTATCTTCGAATATCTCTGTCTCTCTCTATATACATGTAGATATAGTTGGCTAATTTAAAATGCATTTTTGCATACATGTTGTTGACTGTTTTTCGCTCTGCGTCCAACGTCCGCCTCCAGGGGGACATGCCCGACCTAACTTCAGGGCCCCTCTCTCCACCCCCCACATGTCAGGCGATCGCAAACATGGATCAAGGGGGCGTGGATTGGCAACGGGTCCCGTTTCCATGAGAAATCGCGGATTTCCGCCGGCGAGCGAGGCGGCACCGGCCGCATTTTGGGGAGGGCGCCTCCCCCGATCCATGTAGTTGGCGACCGCGCGTCAGATCCATGGATCGCTAATCCATGTTTGCGCGCCCCCGAGCAGATGAAGAGGAAAGCATCGGCCACGCGCAAAGGGGAGCTCATGTTCATGCCAATGTCGCATGAGTGGTTCCCGTCTTTGAGCGTGTCCTTGTACATCTGCAGTGCAGTCGAGCGCTCGGTCGGTATCCTCGTGGGCCCCGATCGCGAAGCCTTTCGGCTGGCCGCCCGAGGTCGGGGCGCGGCCCTGTGGGGTCCCCCGTTCTCCCTTTCCCCTTTTTCTCTGGGTTTCCGACGTCCCACACTCCCCGCGGAGAGGGGGGTGGGGGAAGGTGGAAGGCTGCTTAGAAGCACCCCTGCTTCTTAGAAGGCGCGGACCGTGTCTACAGACGCAGGGCTGGCGCCTTCCAAGAAGCAGGCTCCTTCCGGGAAGCCTTCCCCCTCCCCCTACCCCCTTGTGCGCGCCGCCAAAAGGCTGACTTGCTCGAGGCATCGACTTCGGCACAGAAATAAGCTCCCGGAGGTCCGCGCAGATTTCTTCGATCGGCGCTGGGCCCCCCTGGCGGCCCTGCCGGCGGCGCCTCCGACGCCGCCGCTGGCGCGCTTCGCGCGCCACGGAGAGGGGCCCAGCGCCGATCCACGAAAGTCAACAAATGTGTGTTCGCGGTCGCCCCAAAGGGCACGCACACTCTGTGGGATCACGGCTTCGCCCGATGGCCACCATCTGAGGCTCCCTGCGCAGGATCGACGACGAGGGCACAGGGCAGGACGGAGTCACACAGTCATTCCGCTGCTGGCCCGAGACCTCCGAACACGGGCTTTTGTGAAGTGCGGAGGGACGTTTGCCTGCTGTTCCTGACCGCGCGCGGCCGCACCTGCACTGCGACGCCACCTCGACGAGCAGTTCCCGCCCGCTATATACATTCCAGTGCGGGCATCCAGCGAGCACCCCTCAGTCCAGGTGGGCAGGAGTGCCCAGAATGCAAGGTGCGGAGGGGGGAGTTCCTCCGACGATCGGTGGACTCTGGTCCAGGTTGGCACGCTGTTTCGCAGAACGCTCAGATAACTTGTGGTATTTTGCCCGCCCAGTGTTTTTCCCCTTCTTCTAGCAGGGGATGTCTAACAACTCCGCAGATGGTGTGGCCCTTTGCCCGTCTCGCAGAGCTCGTGCCCTGAAGCCGTACTCAGTCAGGAGGGAAAACCACACACAGACACAATTAATCGTCGATTTCCAAGAAAATATGGGAAACTATGGGAAGTGTGGGGGGAAGACAAAACCCAGAAAATATGGGAAAATATGGGGAATCCTGTTATTTTTGTGTGTGTGTGTGTTTATTTATGTGTGTGTCCCAGGGACCCTTCATACTCGGTCATACTTGGCGTGCGAGGTGCGGACGCGTGATTGCCCTGGGATGATCTGACAGGGCCGTCTGTGTCGACGCCTCCCGCTATTGTCCGAGGAAAGCCCCGCAAGGATAGCCGACGATTTTGCCACCGCTTCTGATCTAGAGCTGAAGTGTTGCTGACGATTTGTTCTGCAGTTTATCTTCGATCGGTCGTACAAATGCAAGATCCGCAACTCATAACCAGCCTGCAGGGCTCCCGACGGGGTCTCTGGCGGGGTCTCGGACCCCTCGGGATCCGCAGTCGGACGGGGTTCGCTCCTTGCACATTTGCAGCCGCCCATGGACTCTGTGATTGCAGTCGAGGGAAATGCCGACGGGTCGTTGAACGGTTTTGGCATCCCCGGAGGGCCTCTTGGGCCTCGTCCTTGGCCGCTCGAAAGCCCCTTGGGGCTCCCCGGGCGCCTCGTACAGTGAGGACCCATGCCAAGAATCACCCTGCTTGCCTCCAGGGTACTCTTTGGGTTTCTTGGGATTCGATGGTTATGCGATGGAGAGCGCGACGCTCCCACACCAAAAATCCAATGGTCGTCCTGGGGCCTCAGGGTTGGGTTTCTTGTGGAAGGTTTCTTGTGGACTGGCCTCCACTGCATGGTTCTTCTTGAGGGCCGCGGTGGGCCTCTCAGGGCAGTGGTCGGCCATGGCCTGGTGGCCTGGCTGGGCCGCCTTGGGAGCCTTTGCAGAGCCTCGGAGAGAGCCTCGGAGATGCATCGGGACGCCCAGCAATCTTCGGGGGCCCCCAAACGGGGTGGCAGCCACACCGTGTGGTGAGTCGGTGGGGATTCGGGGTCAGCGCACGGTTTTGAGACTCGGGTCGTTCTCCGAGGACGTCTCGGGCGACTGGGGCATCCGAGGTCCCAAGACCGTGCGGCGACGGACCGTGCGGTGAGGTCTTGGGGGATTTCGAGGTCACCGCACGGTCTGTCACCGCACCGTTCCGGGACTCCACGTGGACGGGGCGGGGGCCACGTCCCGCAGCGCGGGTGGGAGGTGCGGGCCACCAGAGAGCGGTGCGCGAGAGGGCTTTTGATAAAAAAGTCTTGCGGAGCAGCTCACGTGCAAAATCTGACGCGCCCACGGCGTGCAGGCACGCCGTGGCGGATGCGTGCATTCGGGGGGGGGATAGAGAGAGAGAGGGATAGAGAGAGAGAGAAAACAAAAAAAAAGCAAACAACAAACAGGAGGAGCGAGAGAGAGAGAGAGATAGAACAACAGCAGCAAAAAAAACAGACAACGAAGAGAAGGTGAGAGGGAGCGGGTGGGTGAGTGAGTGACCGAGTGAGTGAGTGGGTGAGAGGGAGGGAGAGAGAGAGAGAGAGCCAGGTAGAGGTGTTTATACATAAGTTTATGTGTATATATATAGAGAGAGACATACTATAGCACAACCAGCAACTAATCCAGACGAGCACGGACTGCGGAGATTGGATGGGTGCGGCATGGGAGGATGCTCACCACCTACCGCATATTCTTGGCACCCACGCCCGTGCTTCTTTTGCTGGTCGATGGCCACCGCTTGCAATATGTGTGTGTGCGCATGCGTCTGTGTGTGTGTGTCTGTGTCTGTGTGTCTGTGTGTCTGTGTGCCTGTGTGTCTGTGTGTGTGTGTATGTGTGTCTGTGTGTCTGTGTGTCTGTGTGTCTGATCTGTGTGTCTGTGCGTGCGTGCATGCGCGTGCGCGCGTGTGTGTGTGCGCGCGCGTGTGTATGTGGTGTGTGTATGTGTGTGTGTGTGTGTGTGTGTGTGTGTGCGTACGGGGGGGCTCTTCGCGCTGAGTCTCAGCCAGTCCCCGTCTCCCCCTGCCTTCGCATACCTCACCATCTGCGCTGTTCCATCCCACTTGCACCTCGCTGCTTTCTCTCAAGCCCCTCAGCCCGCCTCCGTCTGTCCGCTCGTCCTTCCGCCCTGTCCTTCCTGCAGATGTTGGTCCTCCTCGTCGGCCTCCTTCCCTCTCCTTCCTCGTTCAAAGTTACCCCCGTCATCCTCATCCTCCCGATCCCTCTACATTCCCCTCCCTCGCAATTCCCCTCCCCCATGCACCTCCCCTTCTTCCTCGTCCCGCCCTATCCTCATCCTCCTCCCGCTCCTTCCACCCCACTTCCCTTCTCCATCCTCCGCGTCTACCTCGACGTGCTCATCCCCCCTGGAGTCCGCGTGTTCTGTTCACTTCTTGCGCAGTGTATGGGTCCCTCCACTTGTTCGGCAGAACTGAAGATGGAGCATGGGCCAGGGGCTCAGCGCGTGGCGCGTGGCGCCGCGGCGGCGCGGAGGATGCCCGCGCGTGCCCGGGCCGCCCAGACCTGCTGGGGCTGGAGCAGATTTGTGGTCGGAGGGTGGCGCCGCATATCGCCGACGCATCGGCCGTGCGGCTCCGAGTGGGGGGCCCTCTCCTTTCCGTGCCAGCGTCGCCGAAGCATCGGCGGTGCGTCGCCGAGGCATCGGCGGTGCGTCGCCGCCTCTGCGGCGCCGGCGCGAGCGGAGCGCGCGGCGCCGAGGGCGCCGCCGAGGGCCGTGGGCGTCGCGGGGCCTCGCGGCGGAGGCGCGGAGATGTTCGAGCCCGAGGTGGCCGAGCGCTTGGTCGTGGGCGTGTCCATGGGGCTCGCGGCGCGCCGCTGCCCGCCGAGGAGGGCACGGGATCGGGGGGGGAAGGAGCAGGCAGGCAGGCAGGCGGGCGGGCAGGCAGGCAGGCAGGCAGGCGGGCAGGCGGGCAGGCGGGCAGGCGGGCAGGTGGGCAGGTGGGCAGGCAGGAGGGGATCGTGGAGGAGGGAGGAGGAGGAGGAGGAGGAGGAGGAGGAGGAGGAGGAGGAGGAGGAGGAGGAGGAGGAGGAGGAAGAGGAGCAGGCGGAGGAGGAGGAAGGGATTGAGGGGGCAGGGGGAGGGAGGGATGGAGGGAGATGGGAGGGAGGGAGGGAGGAGGAGGGGGGGGGGAACGCTGGGGGGCGGGGAGATGGGGAGATAGCCAAACATCTTACACGCCTTGTCAAAGCCAGGAAGCAAGGGCCAGCAGATACTGATCATGCTCGTGTTAATTTCCGAGTTTGTCCCAGGTTCTTCTTTTCTTTGGGTGTCTGAATTGCGTATCATCCAAGATTTGTGCCACGTTGTTGTATCAGTGATGTCCCGATTGGCTTTCGATAGGTTTTGACAGTCCTGATTATGGTCCGATGAGACATGTGAGAGGAGAGAACGGCGAGAGCACGTTTTGAGGGTGAAGGAGGACCGACAATAAGGACAGGTGAGGGTGAGGCGACCAGCCGAGCCCATTTTCAAGGCGGGGTCAGCGCTGCACCAGCGAACGAACGGTAGGTCCGTGTCGTGTCGACGCTGCAGCGACCGCGCCGCGTGCGTTCAAGTTTGAACGCCGCCAGTGGCTCAGAAGCGTCCAATAATTACGAAACAATCTGGCGATTCGAAGAACCGCCGATCCTTCCAGTTTGAACTCAGGAGGCGAAAGCCCACCCCCACCCCCAGTCCCGACTCCCATCCCCGAGCTGGCGATTCAAGGGGTCTGGATGGGGGTGGGGGAGCTCTCCCTTCCTGAACCCCGCAAACCCAACCCCACCCCCTGTCCCGACCCTCTGGATCGCGGGTTCGGGGATGGGGTCAGTGATTGGTGGTGAGGGTGGGTTTTCGCCTTCCCACGAACAATTCACGCAATGCTGAAAAACAACAGTGCGGGAAGATCGCGACACGAGCCTGCCGGTACCCCACCGCTGCGCCAGGTGACCACCGCGGGTGGCAACTTGCTCTTCGTGGAGGCACCGCTGCTGCCCGGCCACGCCCTGGCCGCGCAGCTCCGTCCCTGTCGGGGGCTGCTAAACAGGGTCAAAGATTATGCAGCTGATGGATCAGAATGGCATCAGATGGAAGCAGTCCTCCTCCTCCTCTTCCTCCTCCTCCTCCTGCCCCGAGGGGCCCCTCCCGAAAGGGGAGGGGGAGGGAACCCAGGGTCCTCCTGGCGTAGTCGGGGGGCGCCGGGCCCGAGGGGCGAAACGCCCCCGTTCCCCTGGGACGGCCCCCATAAGCGGGGTCCCTTTGCCAAGGGGGGGCAGCCAGGTCCCGGGGCCTCCCCCAGGGCGGCGCAGGGATTGCCCCCCTGCGTTCGCCGCCCCGGGGCGGGACTGGCTGTCCGTCTTCCCTGTCGTGTCGTCGTCGTCGTCGTCGTCGTCGTCGTCGTCGTCGTCGTCGTCGTCGTCGTCGTCGTGTCGTCGGCCCCGGGGTCCGTTTCTCCCTCCATTGGGTGTGCGGGGGGCCCTGCCCGTTCGGCTCTCCCCCTTCGTGGGGGCGTTTTCCGTTCGAGCGGGGCCTCCCGCCTGCCCGTGGGGCGCGGCCTTTTCCCCGTCCCGCTCTGGCGGGCTCGTTGGTCCCTGGGGCGCGCGGGGAGCCCTGCCCGTCGGGCATTCCCCACTCGAGGGGGAGGCGCCCGTCGCAGCGGGTCTTTCCGCCTGCCCGCGGGGTTCGGCCGCCTGCCAAAGTTTTCGCCCACGCCTCGCTGTTGTCCTGCTGCGGCCAATCGGTTGCTGGGCTCCCCCCCGGCCAAGCCAATCTTCCCAGTCCAAACGCTACCCCTAACAGGGCAGCCCTCCCCGCGTGGTACCCCTAACCCGGGTAGTCAATTCTGTTCCCCGCACGTGCTACCCTAACCCTTGCACGCAGTGGCATGCGTTGGCATGCGTTGGCACGTCTTGGTATGCATTGGCATGCAGTGGCACGCGTTGGCATGCGTCGGCATGCATTGGGAGGCGTTGGCATGCGTTGTCATGTTTTGGCATGTGTTGGCATGTGTTCGCATGCGTTGGCATGTTTTGGCATGCGTTGGCACGCGATGGCACGCGTTGGCACGCATTGGCATGTATTAGCATGTGTTGTCATGCTTTGGCACGCGTTGGCATACATTGGCATGTGTTCGCATGGGTTGGCATGCGTTGGCACGTTTTGGCATGCGTTGGCATGCTTTGGCATGATGAAGCATGCGTTGGTGTGCTTTGGCATGCGTTGGCACGCGATGGCACGCAGTGGCATACATTGGCATGCGTTGGCATGCATTGGCGTGCGTTGGCGTGAGTTGGTATGCGTTGGCATGTGATGGCATGCGTTGACATGCGTTGGCATGCATTGGAATGCGATGGCATTCGTTGGCATGCGTTGGCACGCAGTAGCACGCATTGTCATGCTCTGGCACGCGTTGGCATGCATTGGCATGCATTGGCATGCGTTGGCATGCGTTGGCAGCCCTCCCCGCGTGCTACCTGTAATCTGGGCAGCCAGTTCGTTTTCCGCACGTGCTATCCCTAACCCGGGCAGCCAATCCGTCACGCGTCTTACATTCGAATTTCCTTTCGTTTTCCTATTGCAGCTCCCTGGCACGGGGGCGCACGGGGCGGCCTCAAGGGCCCATCCTGGGCCCGACGAGCATCCCGACCACGAGGACCAGAGAGTGGGGGCCAGTGGGACACTGGCCTGATTCGGCAGGCGTCCGCACGAATGGTGTAGCCAGGACTGCTGCACGACTGGCGCTAGCCAGGACCAAGGACCCTCAGCGGGGGGCGGGGGGCCCAGCATTATTAACCACTGCAGGAGTGGCTCCTCGTCCTCTCTCCTCCTCCTCCTCCTCCTCCTCCTCCTTCTCCTCCTCCTCCTCCTCCTCCTCCTCCTCCTCCTCCTCCCCGCGTCCTTGTTTGGCCGCTCCCCCGCCCAAGCCCCAGTTGGCCCGCTTCACTGCCTCCTCGCTCCCCCTCTTTAGGCGCGGCCCGTTGTTTCGGTCAGCCCGACTCAACATTCACGGCGGGATTGATGGCACCCGCAGAGCCGCGCGTGTTTAGGTTGGGGCTGGCGTCGCTGGAACTCTGTCAGGGCTGTGGGCTAAAGCCATGCGCCGCGTGCCCAACTAGCCTGCGGCCCGTCGTTTCGGCCAGGCCGACTCAACAAACAGGGCTGGGGTTCCGGGATTACGGGCCGCGCGCTGTTAGGCGATATCCCGGGAATTCTGCCAGCGTTGTGGGCTAAGGTTGCGCATGGCATACCCAACTAGCTCGCGGTCCGTTGTTTCGGCATGCCCGACTCAACGTCACGGCGGGCTTCTTGGCATCCGCAGCGCCGCATCTGTTTAGGCTAGATCGCTGCGCACGTCCACTCCATGTGTCCTGTTCGGCCCCAGGTTGGGACCTCGCCCGGCTCGTCGTCAGTCAAGGTTACATCTTCGCGCCCGCAGGCGAGGGGGTTCGCGGGCGCGGGCTCCAGCGCAGAGCGCGTACTGCGCTAAAAATCGCACCGAATGGGATAACAGTTTCGGCAACATGATTGGCTCCTCGCCCTCCCGCCTCCTTCTCCTCCTCCTCCCCTATCCTTGCTCGGCCGCTCCTCCGCCCACGCCCCAGCTGGCCTTCTCCGCTTGTTCCCTCTTCCTCTTCGCCCCATCCTTTATTAGGCACTGCAGGACTGGCTCGTCGTCCTCCCTCCTCTTTCCCTCCCGTCCTTGCTCGGCCGTTTTCTGCCCCTACGTGGTCCGCCCCACTGCCTCCTCACTCTCCCTCTCGAGGTTCTTGGGGATCCTGCCAGGACTGCGGGCTAAGGCTATGTACCGCATGCCCAACTAGCTCGCGGCCCGTTGTTTCGGTCAGCCCGATTCAACATTCACGGCATAATTGATGGCGCCTGCAGAGCCTCGCGCGTTTAGGCTGGGGCAGGCATCGCTGGAATTCTGCCAGGGTTGCGGGTTAAGGCTACGCGCCGCATGCCCAACTAGCCTGCGGCCCGTTGGTTCGGCCAGACCGACTCAACAAACACGGTTGGGGCTCCGGGATTACAAGCCGCGCGCTGTTGGGCGATGTCCCAGGAATTCTTGTAGGAGGGTGGGCTAAGGCTATGCATGGCATGCCCAAGCAGCTCGCGTTCCGTTGTTTCGGCCAGCCCGACTCAGCGTCGCGGCGGGATTCTTGGCATCCGCAGCGCCGCATTTGTTTAGGTTAAGTCGCTGCGCGTACCTCTAACCTCCATGTCCCCTGTTCGTCTCCAGGTGGGGACCTCGCCCGGCTCGTCTTCAGTCGAGGTTGCATTTTCGCGCCCGCAGGCGAGGAGGCTCGCGGGCGTTGGCTCCAGCACAGAGTGCGTGGTGCGCTAGCAATCCCACCAAATGGGATAACAGCTTCGGCATCATGCGGCAGTATCCGTGAGGTCCCAGCAGTGTCAATATTACGTTGTTCCACCCAGTTGGATGCATCGCGCTCCCAGGTCTCATTCGGCACACAGGCGCACTTGCTGCACTTAGCGCTGCCCAAATGCAGCAAGATGAGGGGGCCTGTTGTCCCTTTTCTTCAGACGCATACGCACTTGCTGCACTGGGCGTTGCCTAAGCGCAGCAAGTGTTTGGGGGCATCTTGCAGCCTCCTTCAGCACTTTGCGTTGCCTGCTGCTGCGTTGCATCACATCGCGTAGCCTTTTTTTTTTCCAGCGCCTTACTGCCACAACTTCTAGACTCTTGTTACATCCAGTGCGTTGCACCGTGGGTTGCTAGCCAGGTTCGGCCCTCGTTAGCAACCGACAACAACATGTAGCGAGTTGGGGTTTCCCCTGGTAGCGGGTGCACCCCCTTGACAAACCTTAGTTGGCTCAGGGACAGTCCAAAGGCGGCACGCTCGCTGTCCTGGCAGCTTGGTCGGTGATCCTCTTTTTCCTCCTCCTTCTCCTCCTCCTCCTCCTCCTCCTTCTCCTCCTCCTCCCCTCCTTCTCCTCCTCCTCCGCACTATATGTTGATGTGATTTTGTTTTCTTGCTGTGGCATGGGACACGGCGCTGCTTCGACAACTACTCCGTCACGTTCCACCTCTGAGCGCTGCGGCGCTGTCCGCCCGCTCCGCTACAGAACGCGCCTCAGCGCGACGCGGGCATCCCGTCCTGCCCCTGGTCCAAGGGCCCTCGCTCTCTGTGTTCGGAAGGTCTCAAGGACCGCCCTTCGGCGCAGCCAACGTGTACGTCCGTCAGCTGTACCCTGGTGTCGCCGCCATGGGCCATGGTGCGTGGCGGGGGCCCATGTGTGCAAACCACCCAGCACCTTCAGCACTATCCTGCACCCGACGGAGGGCTTGCTCGTAAGGGTCCTGCGAGCAGGACCCTCTGCCTGGAGCTCCGTCACGGCATTGGGGGCCCGCGGTGCCCCCAGCTCTTCGCTCCATCCTGAAACCCCTGGAGCCCCCTGGGCCTCGTGCGGGGTGTTCTGGAGGCCGTCGGGGCCTCCCTGGCAATCCTGGGCGCACCTCGGGCCGGGGCCGCTCCTGGCACCGCCCGACTGTATGCCGCGCCCCTCGCAGCTCGACGCCCGTGGCCCCAGCTGCTCCTGGGGCTGTGCGGGCGGCAATCGGCGGGCGCGGCCCGGCCACGCCAACGGGGCCGCCCAGGGCGGCTGTGCTGGCGCGCGCCGCCCTGGGCGGCCGTGCTCGGCGCGCTGCCGCGGGCGAGCAGCATGTCCTCGCTCGGACGTGTTTTTTGGTTGTTTTTTGTTTTGTCTCGGCGAGGACCATCGAGGAGCATCCTGGATCATCGGGCCAAAGAACACGCACGGCTTCGAAAACTGCACGGGGAAGGACGTCCGAGCGACGGCGAGGTCGAACTGAGGAGCCAAAGACTTGCCGTGAGAAGCAGGGTGCGTGTGTGTGCCGAAGATCCGGTCTCTTCGTTCACGGCCGAGGCCTTGGCCGGAGAGGAAGCAGCGCTCTCAGTTTGCAGTATCGCCAGCACTCTGCCGTCAGTAACCCGACCCTGCCTTCGCGGTAAACAGCGGGGTGAGGCCTCCGAGCGTGGGTGGCTTGCCGCGTGGCCTCGCGCTCCCCTTCCCCCCCGGGCTGCCGAGACCGCCCCCCGTTTTTCACCTGTCCTGGTCAGCCCTGCTCCCTGACCTCCGTCGGGGAGGAGGTCGAGGAGGAGGAGGAGGAGGATAAGGAGGAGGAGGAGGAGGAGGAGGTCGAGGAGGAAGAGGAGGGCGAGGAGGAGGAGGGCACCAAGTGATCTTCCTCGGCCTCCTTGACTCTCCTCACCTCTCTATGGCCTTCCCCCCTCCCTCCTCGTCGCCCTCCTCTCTCTCTCGCCTCCCTTCCGTCCCTTCCACCCAATCCCCTCCTTCCAGATCCCCCTCCCTCCTCGTCGCTCCTCTTCGTCCTCCATTAATTTTCCTTATCCTCCTCCTCCTCCTTTTCCTCCTCCTCCTCCTTTTCCTCCTCCTCCTCCTTTCCCTTTCCCTATATTCCTTCCTGTCGCACCCCGAGGCTGGTCGAAAGGGCGGGCGGGCGTTTCACCTTAGACTTCATCACCATGTATGACCCTGATGCTCAAACCTTGACAAGATGGAGGGCGGGCCGTTTTCAAGATGTGTCTCTCGCATCAGCGCCGCGCACGTTCCTTTTTAAATTTGTGTAAGTGTTTCACGGATTGAAGGCGGGCCGTTTTCAAAATGTGGTTTTCGCCTCAGCGCCGCGTACCTTCTTTTTAACATGTGCAAGAGTTTCACGGATTGAGGGCGGGCCGTTTTCAAGCTGTGGCTCTCGCCTCAGCGCCGCGCACGTTCTTTTCAAACATGTGCAAGAGTTTCACGGATTGAGGGTGGGCCGTTTTCAAAAGGCGGTTTTCGCTCCAGAGCCGCTCACATTCATTTTAGTCATTTGCAAGAGTTTCACGGATTGAGGGCGGGTCGTTTTCCAGATGTGGCTCTCGCCCTAGCGCCTGGCACATTCGGTTTTAACATGTGCAAGAGTTTCACGGATTTTGAGGGCGGGTCGTCTTCAAAATGTGGCTCTCGTTTCAGCACCGCGCGCATTCGTGTCAAGCATTTGCAAGAGTTTCATTGGTTCTCATGGTTAACGTACCAGAAATGGCGCTTCGGAGCGATTCGGGATTGTCAGGGCGCAACAGTTACATTGATTCGCAGTGTTGAAGTCCCAGGAATGGTGTTCTGGCACGATTCATGATCGCCAAGACGTAACAGTCATGTTAACCCGTGGCGTTGAAGTCTTGAAAACGGTGTTTTGGCATGTTTCAGCGATGTTCACACGGTTGTCCCCCAACGGGGCAATTCCCTCAGTGGAATGACCTTTTGTAAGGGGCCTATGAAGAGGGATCTTGGAGGGAGGGTGTATGTTACCAACGTTGATGAGTCTTGTGTTTGCACTAGTCTTCCTCCTCCTCCTCGCCCCTCCCCCGTCCTCGCCCCTCCCCTCGTCCTCGCCCCCCCACCCTTCCATCCTCGTCCGCTCCCCTTTCCAGGCCACGCGCTCCAACGGCAGCGGGCGCCTGACCATCACCGGGCAGCTGGGGGACGTCTGGACCCCTCCCCGCCGCGATCGCTCCGCCGGCTCGCGGGGCTCGACCCGGCGGGCCCCGGCCGCTGTCGCCGCCGCGGCTGACGGCGTTCCGATTGGGACGGGCCGGCAGCCGCACTCGGCGCAGGGGGGAAGGGGGGAGGGGGGGAAGGGGAGGAGGAGGTCCGTTGCAGTTCTGGCTGAAGCCATATTGGCTCAAGCAGAACGCCTCCCAGGGCACCTGGCCAGGCAGCTCTTTTCCAAGGCGCCCGAGACAGCCCCAGCACCCAAGAACGAGGGTGCCCCACATACTGAGTACCGCTAGTGTGAGGTGCCCTTTCTTCTTGTTTGCTCTCTCGTATTATTGGGGTTGTCTTCAGTGTGAAAGAAAGGTTCCAAACAGGCACTGGCATTCTTGTGTGGGCAATCCTGGCTCGCCAGTGGGCAGCATCCGCCGCCCAACGCCAGACCAACTTCGCGAAGGGGGCTTGGGCCAAAGTCCCAACCACGCCATCCATCCCAGAGAAGGGGGCGCAGGCAACGGTCCAGAGGGTGCCCATATGGCAACATACGGCAACACACGGCCAGAACTAGGTAATGGCAGTAGCAAAACCAGTGCCCAGATTCGAGACCAGGACGTCCAGGAGTTCATCCAAGCGACGCCAGTCATGAGCCCCAACGCAGCACGCCAGCACAGAGTCTGGGCCACGCCGCCTCTGACACGCGGAAGGGTTCAAGCTCGACGCCAAGAGGAATCTGGACATCACGGCAATGTTGATGTGCTACAGCTGCTGGAGGACGACCCAGATGCCAGAGCGGAGTTATCGATGTGCAAGTACGCGTTGGCCCCAATGGAGCCAATCGACATCCAGCTCACGGAAGCACACAACGAGCAGCACGACATGCAGTTGTATATAGATCGCACGGAGGGCCCGCAGGACAACCAATGAGAAATGAACGAGGAGATGTGCCAGCCAGGGCAGTACATCGGTCGGCGAATTGAAGCATAAGAACAATGTTGGTCAGGGTGGCAGTATGTATGCAGGATTAGCAGCGCCAGCCCAAGCGGCGCCTCATCTGGCAGTCGCACCCATGATGGAGGCTATGCAGAAACAGATCGCGTAGCAGCAGACCTACATCCATAACGTGAATGTCTTGATGCAGCAGCATATGATCATCGAGAGGAGTGGCAAGGGTGCCTTTCCCATGCAGTGCCCCCCCCCCGATGCCGCCAGCTCCTGCGACTGGACAGCCAGCTCACGTCGGACAGCCAGCTCAGATGCAGCAGCCTCTGCCACGAGCGGCGGCGGCTGCTCAGGCTGGCCCCGCGCCGCAATCAGCGGCGCCAGTGCAGGCTGGGATGGGAGCATTGCCAAGGCAGGCGCCACAATCAAACGAGACGGTGGAGAGTTACCGGGGATGCCGCCTACGAAACCGCAGCTCTTGCCTGACGAGGGCGAGCCAGGCGCGACGCGCGCGTCTAAGCAGGAGGTTCAACACAGAGGAATCTTAGAAAGCAGAATCGGAGAGGCAGAGGAGAAGGCAAGAAGGAGAGCTGGAACAGGAAGCGTTGACAGCCACTCGGGATTGCAAGCGCTTTTTCGTAATTGGAGCATCAGTGGGTGAAACGATTGCCGCGCCAGCTTGAGTCACCAGCCCACGGAATCAATGCGACCGAAATACGCGCGCAGCTTGGTTCGCAGGACTTGGTATGACGGGGCGGGGTTGCGCCCGTCGGCAAGAACGAGCAGTGGCAGGGCTTGCCCAATATTCCCGTCGCAGAAACAGTTCCAATCGTTAACCATTGAACAGGCCACCGAGTCCATAAAATCAGGTCAAGGCGAACTGCGCCTGAGTAGCTCTGCTTCAAGCAGGGTAGTGACTTGGCGTGCAATTGGGCATCTGGCGCAGCGTAGCGGCCGCCGCAAGCATCGCTAAATGACTTCCTAGTCTGGCGCGCGCAGGCAGTGCAACGCCGACTCAGAACCAGCGCAGCACATGCGCCTTCGACCCGCGCGTTGCGGCAGAATTGCGACTGCCCCTTGCCAGTCGCGCAATGTGTGCGGTTGGGGGCGACTGGGGAAAACGAACGAGGGCTGGTGCTATCGCGCGCGCATCGGCCCATCTTGCGCGACCCTCGTGCCTGGGCAGTCATGATGAGGAGGCGTCGAGCAGATCTTATACGTTCTCGACGCATGCGAGGAGGGCCGCGCGGACTGGGTCTCGAAGCGCCACCCCTCGATCAGATCCAACAGCGGCTTCGTCGAATGGACCGGCTAGCTCAGAGAAGGAATGGGCGATTGCGACAGCGGCAAGTTGATGGCTGCAAGCGCGAGTCTCGGCCGCCGCCGCAGGGGGGGCCGCGGCGACCGCTGCGGGTGGCGATGCGGCACTCGCCCAAAAGTGGCGGAATGGTAGTTCTGCTCAGTTGAACAGGAATCAAGATCCGAAGCAGAGCTGCGGCGCGCGAGCAGACGCGGCTCGCGTTTGCAGCGGTTGGTAGGGCGACGCCGTAGAGCATCGAGAAGCATCTTTGCATCTTTGGTCCGACGCGTGCGCCAGATTTGGCTGGGGCACGCGGCGCGCGCCGCGCGCCGCGCGTTTGCAGCGATTGATGCAGGGCCAATCCGCTTCCTCCTGCGCCGCAGCCCTTGCGCGCAAGCTATGGCGGCCCGTGAAGATTGCGATTCGGCCCAGTGCGAATTCGGCAGGGGATGGAAACATCCCGCATTTCACAATGCGGCTCTTGGGAGGTCCTCAAGGGACCGTTCCCCTTCGCGGTGGGCCCCGTGCGGAGAGGGTTGGGGATTTGGGCCTCCGACCCGCCATTTGCGCCTCCAGTCCGCTCCGCGACCCCCCCCCCTCGCTCAGCTTCCCGCGGGGTGGGTCCATAGAGTCAAGCGCGGTGCAAATGTTGCCTCCGTTCTCTGCCGTTGCATCCTGCGCTGCGTAAGTATTTGCCCCGCGCCCTTCTCACGCGTTGCCTCGCATCTTTGCTCCCCGGGAACGCGTGGCCGAGGCAGCGCTTGCAGCCGCGGGGCCGCTTGGGGGCGCAGCCCGACGGGCGCTTCGGGCACGCGCCACGTGGGGACAATACCCCGACAGGCTAGCCACATACACGGGTCGATCTCTTTTCCGAGCAGGCGAAGAGAAAGCAGGGCGGGCATTTCGATGCAGCTAGTGCATTCGGTTGTTTTGGAAAGGATGAAGCGGGGGCTCGGTGACGCTGGCGTTCTTTGCTGCGATCCTTGCGATGAAGCCAGCACCGCGTTAAAATGCGTTGCGTTGATCAGGGCCATGCTTTGGATTATGCTTGATTCCCCTGGGCAGGTTGTTGAGCTCGTCAGCGACTATGCTCAGCATCCAACAGCCAAGCTGCGATACGCAACTCATCCAAATTATTGACCTCGTCTACAGGTTAGCTTCGCACCAGTTCCATATCAACATTCTGCATCGGAAAAGCCACTGCGAGTGCCCATGGAGCACTTTTGCTGACAACGTCGCGAAGTGTCAAGCTTCAGGTTGCTTTCCCCTGTCCCCAGGTCTCCCCCAGCACGTGATTCATGTTTTGTTTTTCTTCCGATTTCCAGTCGGGGAAACGTGATATTCGATTTGGCCGGTGCCCAGGCTCGATTGCGCTTCTTGATGGGCGCGTCCAAGATTTTGACGGTCCTGTTTTCCTGGGACTTTTGCAGCGGGGGCTCGCGCCAAATCTCATGCATGTTGGATTTCGTCATCTTCCTGAGGGCCCCGTCAAGCCAGCCCGGGTCCCCCGAACCCAAGTCACAATGTGCTAGACCCTTCCCAGGTGGAGCATCGAACAGACCCCCTCCTATCTGATGCCGCCTCCCGATGACGTGCCGTGCCGGGCGACGCAAACGCAGCTCCGAGCCTGCAGCTTCAGTCGTGTTAGTTAACCCTCCTCCCTCCGTTTCGTCTTGCCCTCCCTTACTTACTTTCGTTGTGCCCTCCCTCGCCTTCGTTTCATCCTCCCTCTGGTTCGTTTTGCCCTCTTCTTTTGTTTCGTTGTACCCTTCCTCCATGTTGGTTCACCCTCCTTCCTTTCGTGTTCCCTCCCACCATGCGTTGTGCCCTTTCGTTTTACCCTCCCCCCGTCAATTTGTTCCTTCACCTCCCCCAGTTTCGCTTTACGCTTCCTCCATTTCGTTTTACCCTCCTGTTTTCCCTCTGCCTCCTGATCCCCCCCTGCCTCCTACTTTCCCAAGGCAGGAAAACAGGCCGGGGAAACTTTTTCGGGTCCAGTTGGATCCCGTTGTTCCGGGTCTGGTTCGCATTCCAGTTCGATGTGGTCCCGATATTTTTCCTGTTGCCGTCCCGATCGTCCTGGGAGCGTTCTGGTCTGCAAAACCGCGCTCGTCTCCAGAGCGGGGTCAGCTTCAGTGCCGCACGCCACTGTCCTTGGAAGAGCCCCTACCGCGCCAACACATTCTGCGAACCGCCCCTCTTTGTCCCCCCCTCCGCCCGCATTTGGATGCCGCAAGACATCTATCTACACGCGGGTCGTTGACAGCAGATATGCCCAGATCCCCACCTATTTTAAGCGCTCTCCTGCTTCAAGAGTCGAGCGGCTTTCCATCTTCCCTCCTCTTCAGGGGGCAGGGGGGGAGTGAAATCGACTTCAATCCTGAGATCGGACGTTGCAAATAACTGCAACATCGCGAAAACTTGCGCCCGGAGCCCCAGACTTTATCTTCCTGCGTCATTCTTTGAGCTGGAACGATCAGTGAGGGCCCCAGGGCTCGAAACTGAGCAAAAAGCGCCGGCTGCGGCAAAAAATTGCAACGCCATGATCTCCGGGCACGCGTTCCTGCTTCCTGCCTCCGCCCGCTCCTTCCGACCGACGGGTGTGGTGACGGGCCGGGCTCGCTCGGCCCCCGGCCGCCCGCCCGTGCCTCGTGCGCTCTCCCCGCGAGCGGGCGCGCGCGGCGGCCCCGGCGCCGAGAGCGCCCCCGAGGGGGCGGCGGCGAGGGCCCCCCCCCGGGGAGCCCCCGCGGCGCCTCCTTCGGAGGCTTCCCCGCGGTTCGGCGGCGAGCGAGCGGGGGTGGATAGTCGAGAGGGCGGCGGGGCTTCTCAGAGGGCGGCGGGGCTTCTCAGGAGCCCTCCGGCCTTCTGGGGTCCTCAGGCCTTGTGAGATGTTTCTCTTGGTGTCTACGTGGAAGGGCTCAGCTCGCCGCCGCGCGGCGCGGTGCCTCCCAGGGGAGCGCTTCCCTTGGGGCCCCGCCGAGGGGAACCTCCGAAGGGGCCGAGGGCGTGCGCGCGTCGTCGTCGTCGTCGCCGTCGCCGTCGTCGTCGTCGTCGCCGTCGCCGTCGCCGTCGCCGTCGCCGTCGCCGTGGCCCGTGGCCGTGGCCGTGGCCGTGGCCGTGGGTGTCGCCGCCGCCGTCGCCGTCGCCCTGGCCGTCGCGCGAGCCGTGCCCCTCGCAGGTCATGCGCGAGAGCGTGAGCACGGCCATGTCCTTGCTGCGCAGCAAGATCTACAGTGCCGCGCTCGCGGGGACCAGGGAGGCGCGGCGCCGTCGGCGGGGAGAGGGGGGTGGGGGCGGCCTCTTCGAAGAGAGGGGAGGAGAGGGGAGGGGGAGGAGGAGGAGAAGAAGGAGGAGGAGGAGGAGGGATGATTGATGATGATGAGGGATGATTGATGATGAGGGATGATGATGATGATGATGATGATGATGATGATGCTGATGCTGATGCTGATGCTGATGCTGATGCTGATGCTGATGCTGATGCTGATGCTGATGTTGATGATAGTGATGATGATGATGATGATGATGATGATGATGATGATGATGATGGTGATGATGGTGATGATGATGATGATGATGATGATGTTAATGATGATGATGATGATGATGAGGAGGAGGAGGAGGAGGAGGATGAGGATGAGGATGCGGATGAGGATGAGGATGATGAGGATGAGGATGAGGATGAGGATGAGGATGAGGATGAGGACGAGGGTGATGATGATGATGATGATGATGATGATGATGATGATGATGATGATGATGAGGAGGAGGATGAGGAGGAGGAGGAGGAGGAGGATGAGGATGAGGATGAGGAGGAGGAGGCGGAGGAGGAGGAGGAGGAAGACGAGTAATAACAATACAAATGATTATACGAATAATGATGATAATAATAATAATACTAATAGAATAATGATAATAAATAATAATAATATCATTCAAAATAACAATCTTAATAATAATACTAATAGTGATACTAAAATTGTTATTGGTAATAATACTAGCAGTAGTAATAGTAAGAAGAATACTACGAACATTACTACTAATCCACATACTAATACTAATATTACCATTATTACTAATCGCAGTAACAGTACTACTACTACTAATAATAATAATAATAGTAATAATATGAATGATGATAATAATACGAATAGTAATACTCATACGGATAGTAATAAAACGAATGATAACGTTGGTACTATTATTAATACTAGTAACACTAATACTAATAGTGATTCTACTCATGATAGTACTAATATTCATCATCTTACGAACAGTAATACTGATACTAATATCAACGTTAAGAACATACTAAGAATCATACTTATAATAGTCCGAATTGTCATAATAATAACAATCAGAGGAGGAGGAGGAGGAGGAGGAGGAGGAGAAGGAGGGGGAGGAGGAGGAGGAGGCGAGCAGGGAGGAGGGAGGAGGAGGACGAGCAGGAGGGGGAGGAGGGGGAGGAGGAGGTGGAGGAGGGGGAGGAGGAGGACGAGGAGGAGGAGGAGGAGGAGGAGGTGGACGAGGAGGAGGAGGAGGAGGAGGAGGAGGAGGAGGCCCGCGGCAAGGGCGACGGCCGCCGGGGCGCCGGGCTGCGCTGACCTTGCCGAAGGCCGAAGGCGCTGCGCCGCTGCCAGGCTAGACTGGCGAGCGTGGTGCCGCGCTGCCGCTGGGGCCGCCAGGCGGCGAGCGCGCTGGTTGGGGCGCGCGGCGCGCGCGCGACTGGGAGCAGGAGGCGGCGCCTGGCAGGCCAGCTCCTACGCGGGGCGCGTGCTGCGGCGCGAGCAGGGCACCGGCTGCTGCCCAGGGCGAGGGGCGACTGGTCGGCGGCGCCGCGCGGGCTGGCCAGGCGGCGCCAGGGAACTGGACTGCCTCCTCGCAGGGCCCGCCATGCTCCCGTGTAGCGGATGATAGAGGCACCAGCCAGCAGCCCCCTCCCCCCTGGGAGTGGCCGCTGTCTTGGACAGCCGGCCACTCCCAGGGGAGCCGCCCTCCTGTGCGGGGCGGCGGAGGAGTCTGTCAGCTCCCGATCGCCCAGTTATGGTGTGCGCGGGACAGACTCGCGGCCGCCGGAGGCGGACGAGGAAGAGGAAGTGGAGGAGAAGGAGCAAGAGGCGGAGGAGGAGGGA